TAACAGCATTTCAAAACTATTTGATCTCCCACACATGTCCGAACCGTCAGCATCATCTTTGCGCATGCTGATAGACTCAGTCCGTGCCATTTACGAATCTCTTTTATCGCTAGGATCTGATAAGCAGATTTCGAATGCCATGCTCATCCATTTGGTAATGATGAAAGTGGACGCTGGCACGCGCTCTAGGTGGGAAGAGAATCTTGACTACAATAAGCTTCCATTGTGGCAAGATTGTGAAGCTGCCTTGAACAGACGGTATCAGCATTTAAGTGCTGAAGACTCATCTGGTCCACGTCGTAAGGTAGCTCAGGATAATAAGAAAAGAATTGGGAAAACTTCTCTAGCTGTCGCTCTGCCAAGTGAGCCGCAGAGTCCCAAATGCGTGTTTTGTAAAAGAACGATCACTTCATTCACTCGTGCTCGTCGTTCGCAGCAATACCTTGCCAGAAACGTTTTACGTTCGCAAAGAGCTATCCGCTCTGTATAAATTGTTTGCGAACAGGACACTCAGTGGCTGCTTGCAAATCAGCCCACTGTCGTGTGTGCTCTAAGCCGCACCATACCATACTGCATAGATACAGCTCTGAAGCGGCTCAAAGTAGCTCAGCAGTTGTATCAGCAGTCCCTCGTGTCACTTCGTCACAGATTTCATCTGTAAATCACGCACGGATAGCCTCTGATCAAGTTCTTTTGGCAACTGCAGTTGTGAAGATAAAAGATCAATCTGGATCTTATCACTTAGCTAGAGCTTTATTAGATTCCGGCTCGCAAGTAAATTTCATAACTGAAGAACTGGCAAAACAGTTGAAATTAAAACGGCAAAGATCTGGGATTCAATTGTTGGGCATTGCTAATTGTCAGTCATCTGTTCGGCACAGCGTTCAAACTTCGATAGCGTCCCGAACGGACGACATAGAAATCCGAACAGACTTTGGTGTGTTACGTTCCATTTCGTCGTATCAACCAGAGAAGCACACTGAAGAGATCAAGGTACCTGATAATGTACAATTAGCTGATCCTCAATTCCACAAGCCGCAACGTATTGATTTGTTGCTCGGTGCTGATATCTTTTTTGATATATTAAGAGAAGGCAAAATAAAAGGATCCGATAACAACCCAACATTGCAATTGACTGCCTTTGGTTGGATTGTATCTGGTCGCTGCCGAACATTGAATGCAGCTACTAGTTCGTCGACTTTCATTAGCGTCGTAAACGACGACATAGCTATAGATTCAATAGTTCGCAAGTTCTGGGAGTTGGAAGAAAAGCCAAATACAATTAATTCGAATTTGTATACCCCAGAGCAACAACTGTGCGAGAAGTCATTTGTGGAGATTATTTGCCAAACTACCTCGGGTCGTTTCAGAGTGTCGCTGCCATTCAAATCAAGCCCACATTGTCTTGGTACGTCTTACGACACAGCCAAGCGACGATTTCTGGCCTTGGAAAGAAGAATGAGCAAGCAAGAAGACATTCGGCCAATGTATATTGACTTTATGAAAGAATACTTGGCCTTGGGTCACATGAGCCCAACTAACAATCAAATTCCGAGAGAGCCGCATTATTTCATCCCATATCAATGCGTGCTAAGACCGCACAGCGCATCCACTAAACTTCGAGTAGTGTTTGATGCCTCTAGCAAGTCCTCCTCTCAATTGTCGCTGAATGATCTACTCATGGTGGGTCCGACCATCCAGCCGCAGTTATGGGAGACTTTGCTAAGATTTCGACTTCGTCCTTGGGCTGCTACAGCAGACATCGCTAAAATGTACCGTCAAATTGAACTTGACGAGTCCCACCGCAACTTTCAACTTATTGTGTGGAGGGAAACGCCCACTGATCCGTTACAAATCTTTCGATTAAACACAGTAACGTACGGGACAGCGACTGCTCCATTCTTAGCAATTCGATGTTTAAAACATCTAAGCGACTTGCATGCTTCCACTCATCCAGCTGCTGCAAGATCGTTAGCCCGAGATTTCTATGTTGATGACCTGTTGACAGGAGCAGATAGCGTCGAAGAATTGTGCTTGTTGCATCGAGACTTGATCGCAATTCTTCAAAAGTTTGGATTTCCTCTCACAAAATGGTCGTCCAATTGTAAACAACTCGCAGCACAACCAGCTAGAAACGATATAGTTATTGGTCATCAAGAGGACACAAAAACATTGGGATTAATTTGGAATCCAATGAATGACAGCTTTAGATATTCCATGAACTGTCCAGTAGAAGTTCAACAGACCAAAAGATCCGTTTTGTCATTTGTAGCAAGGTTATACGACCCCTTAGGTTTGTTAAGTCCGATCGTAACTCGTGCGAAGGTCCTTTTACAGGAAATGTGGTTGCACAAACTTGGGTGGGATGACCAATTGCCTGTTCAAATGAGGCAAGAATTTGAGGCAGTAACTAGCTGTTTCTCAAATCTAAACTCGTTGCATATACCTCGTTACGTTGGCACACTTAAATCGAAAGGATGTCAAATCCATGGATTTGCTGATGCCTCAACGAGAGCTTACGGTTGTTGTTTATACGTAAGAATGCAAACAGATAAGGGTATCACTACCAGGCTGCTAGTCGCTAAATCTAAGGTAGCGCCCTTGAAAACAAAATCTGTTCCGCGGCTGGAGTTGTGTGCTGCAGAATTGTTAGCTACCTTATGGGATGCGGTAAGGAAAGTACTTGATTGTCCTATTAATCAAGTCACATTTTGGTCAGACTCTGAGGTGGTGCTTCATTGGCTGCGAATGCATTCATCTAGCTTGAACACATTCGTTGCTAATCGCGTTGCAACCATCCAAGAGTTGACAACTAATGTATCTTGGCGTCATGTACCAACGAAAGACAACCCAGCAGATATTGTATCTCGGGGATGTTCAGTTGAGGAGCTTAAAACATCATTGTGGTTTTGCGGACCAGGATTTTTAAAGCTCTCTGACACATTGTGGCCAGCCAACCCACAAATCACCCTATCAAAGGAGTTAGAGCTGCTAGAGAAGCGTAGAACTGCAATTACTATGATCGCGGTCGATGAGGTAGCAAATCCTATCGTACATCTTATTGAGTCAACGTCATCATTTTCTAAGCTAATCCGCATCGTTGCCTATATGTTCCGCTTTATCAATGGAAAACAAGAAAGTCATTCTTCACTTGTTCCTACAGCTTCTGAGTTAAGCTTCGCATTCCTTGCAGTTATATCTGTAATTCAACACATTGAATTCAGCGAAGAAATAAAGAAAATAAAGAAGTCAGTCGTGTTGCAACCGTCATTGCAAAAACTGACACCATTTTTGCACCCACATCAGCATGGCAGGCGTATGTTATGGTTGCTACGAGTAGGAGGTCGTTTATTGAAGGCACCATTAGCACATAATGCCAAATTCCCATTGTTGCTTCCAAAAAAATGTCGTTTCGTAACGCTTTATTTGGAGCATTTGCATCGCTCTCATTGCCACGCCAATCCCCTAGTACTAATGGGCCTGCTTCGTCAGCAGGTTTGGCTGGTCAATGCTCGACAGGCTTGCAGTGCAGTAGTCCGAAAATGTGTACATTGTTTTCGCTACAAGCCGAAACTCTTATCCCAAATAATGGGCAATCTTCCCGCTGATCGCTTACATGGAAATAGGCCATTTGAGATCAGTGGAGTGGACTTTTGCGGTCCAATACTAGTTTCGCTGGGAATTCGGGGCAAATCGCCAGTCAAAATGTATATTGCCATATTTGTTTGCTTTACTTCGAAGGCAGTGCATCTTGAATTAGTCACCGATTTAACCACAAATTCATTTCTAATGTGTTTATCCAGGTTCGTTGGTCGACGTGGGCTTGTCCGGAAGCTGTACTGCGACAATGCCACCAATTTCGTGGGTGCTGCACGCACGCTGGACCTCAAAGCTACGTTCCATGGCAACACAGCGGACATGGAAATGTTTGCTGCGGAGCGGGGCATGGAGTTTGTATTCATCCCTCCTCGAGCGCCGCATTTTGGCGGCCTTTGGGAAGCGGCGGTGAAATCCGCCAAAGGTTTGCTGCTGAAAGCGATGGGCAGCGCTCGATTACGGCAAGACGAGGTGGCCACCGTGCTGGTCGAGGTCGAGGCCGTGCTCAAGTCGCGGCCAATGGTCGCTCCCAGCAGCAACCCCAACGACGGCGAAGTGCTCACGCCAGGGCACTTCCTGATAGGAGCAACGCTCGTGCCGCTGCCAATCGCGTCCACAGAGCCAGTCGACGACGTCAAGCTGACACTATTAAAAAGATGGCAGCTGACATCCAACATCAAGCGTCGATTTTGGAACGACTGGTCAAGGGACTACCTGCTCAGCCTGCAGCAGAAGTCAAAATGGACGAAGGAGAGACAGAACATACAGGTCGGAGCAGTCGTGCTCGTGGGAGAGGACAACGCTCCTCCACAACAGTGGATGCTAGGCGTGGTGACGGAAGCCATAGTCGGAGGAGATGGTAGAGTGCGCGTAATTGTCGTTAAGACAAAAAATGGCACATATAAAAGGGCAATTCATCGCGTTGCACCACTGCCACTCCACTAATACACCATGTTATTGAAGCCCTGCGGCCTTTCAACGCGGCCGATGTTAAGGCATTTGGATATTGCCTTCTGAAATATTATTATATATTATTATAAGAAATTGAATTATTATGAATTATTAATTGAATTATTATCGAAATTGTATAGGTTAAGTACTTGAAGCTGAACCACTGTACAGAAAAGTTGTTATTGTACGCGCTAGCACGGGAGTGTCGCTCTCCAAAAGATCGCTCTCTCGCTGCTCGCTGTTAGATGCGCATAGGTGCGCTCTCTACTGTGCAAGCTGCGCTTGCGTTCATGTTAAATTTAATAAATTCAGTACAAAATTGAACACCGGTGCCAGCACTTCGTATATTTCAGAGAGACCGCAAGTTGCTGTCTACTTTTTTTTATAAATATTATACACTGGCCATCGAAGGACCAGACTCCTTTTGGAAGGACATTTTTGTTTTTATTTTTTGGCGCCCCCGGGTGGACACTCTCTGGAATTGAAGGAAGCTGGATTATGGATTTTGTGGATAATCAGGGAAGTACATAAATACATAGAGCACATAGATGACCAAGTAATGCAAGCCATAAATAAATAAATGCATTACTTGAGACATACAAAATATTAATGTATGTACAATCTACGCCTATGTACATTGTGTTGAGCTTATTTCAAATTGAAATTTAAAAAAAATAAATAAAAATAATAATAAGGTGCATATTGACCTTTGATCTGCAAATAATTCAATCTCTATTGCCTCGCATAATCCAAGTTTTCTTTGGCGCCGCTAGTGTGTTACAGTTTTTTTGCTCATTTTCGTCTCGCACTTTCGTTTTGCGCTTGCGCTCACAGCTCGCTCTCGCTCGCACATATTAGTGCGCGCTCACTTTGCGCTCAGTGCATACTCACTTGCTATATCGTTTGCACTCGCGCTTACACAGCAAATTTCGCTTTAATTTACGCTCATCATTTGCATGCGCGCTTGCAATATCGTTTGCACTCGCGCTTGCACTTATAGTTGCGCTCTCGTTTTACTGTCTCGCTTGCACATATTAGTGCGCGCTCACTTTGCGCTCATTGCATACTCACTTGCAATATCGTTTGCACCCACGCTTGCACACGCAGCAGCGCTCTCGCTTTGCGCTCAAAACTTGCACTCCTCGCTTTGCGCTCATTGTATGAGCTCGATCTGCACTTATATTTTGGCATTCATACCGGCGCGCTCTCGCTTATGAATGCATTGCACTCAGTCGCTCAACAGTCAAATATAACTCAATAGACCACTTGCCCAAATAGTCACTCAACATTTTGGTTGTTGTCTTCGCTATATCGTAACAGTCACTCAAGTATAGTTTAACACTGCCAGCGTAATATATTGAGATTTATTACGATCGCGCGCATTTGTTAACATTCTTGAATTGCTCTTCGCTTGTTGTCATACATTAAGTGAACTTTTATTTGTTTCGATTGAAATTGGTTTCAACTGAGCATCACTTATAGCATCATGACTAACAAGCGAGGAAAGAATAGGTCTATGGACGAGTCATCATCAGAGCGTGTCGAAGCTCTGTTGGCCGTTTACAAAAATGTTACAAACGACATAACACGCATTAATAAATCATTAAAAGATTACACTAAACCAGTAGAGCCATTTGAAATTGAATGTCGACTTGAGATATTGAACCGCTACATAGAAAAGGCCTTTAAGACACAACAAGAGTTGGACGACATTAACGCAGATTTAGTGCCTCGGTCAACGTTAGAAGATTTGTGTGTATCGACAAAAGCACTTCTTATGAAGCGAGGTAGTGATAGCCAACCTAAAAGTGAGAGTCCCGCTAACTCTACAATGATTAGCTCAGTGTCACATTCTAGGAATCTACCGAATATAAAGCTGCCAAAGTTTAGCGGAGAATATTCGGAATATAAGAATTTCATTGGACTCTTTGAGAGTTTAGTCGACAACGAGCCAGGGTTATCAAATATAGAAAAGTTTAACCACTTGTTGTCATGCTTGGACAAAGAAGCATTAGGCACTGTCAAGGCATATCAGGTGACAGATGCAAATTATCCAAAAGCGTTAGCTGCTTTAAAAAATGTGTACGACAATCAGTGTATTTCAAAACTATTCGATCTCCCACACATGTCCGAACCGTCAGCATCATCTTTGCGCATGCTGATAGACTCAGTCCGTGCCATTTACGAATCTCTTTTATCGCTAGGATCTGATAAGCAGATTTCGAATGCCATGCTCATCCATTTGGTAATGATGAAAGTGGACGCTGGCACGCGCTCTAGGTGGGAAGAGAATCTTGACTACAATAAGCTTCCATTGTGGCAAGATTGTGAAGCTGCCTTGAACAGACGGTATCAGCATTTAAGTGCTGAAGACTCATCTGGTCCACGTCGTAAGGTAGCTCAGGATAATAAGAAAAGAATTGGGAAAACTTCTCTAGCTGTCGCTCTGCCAAGTGAGCCGCAGAGTCCCAAATGCGTGTTTTGTAAAAAGAACGATCACTTCATTCACTCGTGCTCGTCGTTCGCAGCAATACCTTGCCAGAAACGTTTTACGTTCGCAAAAGAGCTATCCGCTCTGTATAAATTGTTTGCGAACAGGACACTCAGTGGCTGCTTGCAAATCAGCCCACTGTCGTGTGTGCTCTAAGCCGCACCATACCATACTGCATAGATACAGCTCTGAAGCGGCTCAAAGTAGCTCAGCAGTTGTATCAGCAGTCCCTCGTGTCACTTCGTCACAGATTTCATCTGTAAATCACGCACGGATAGCCTCTGATCAAGTTCTTTTGGCAACTGCAGTTGTGAAGATAAAAGATCAATCTGGATCTTATCACTTAGCTAGAGCTTTATTAGATTCCGGCTCGCAAGTAAATTTCATAACTGAAGAACTGGCAAAACAGTTGAAATTAAAACGGCAAAGATCTGGGATTCAATTGTTGGGCATTGCTAATTGTCAGTCATCTGTTCGGCACAGCGTTCAAACTTCGATAGCGTCCCGAACGGACGACATAGAAATCCGAACAGACTTTGGTGTGTTACGTTCCATTTCGTCGTATCAACCAGAGAAGCACACTGAAGAGATCAAGGTACCTGATAATGTACAATTAGCTGATCCTCAATTCCACAAGCCGCAACGTATTGATTTGTTGCTCGGTGCTGATATCTTTTGATATATTAAGAGAAGGCAAAATAAAAGGATCCGATAACAACCCAACATTGCAATTGACTGCCTTTGGTTGGATTGTATCTGGTCGCTGCCGAACATTGAATGCAGCTACTAGTTCGTCGACTTTCATTAGCGTCGTAAACGACGACATAGCTATAGATTCAATAGTTCGCAAGTTCTGGGAGTTGGAAGAAAAGCCAAATACAATTAATTCGAATTTGTATACCCCAGAGCAACAACTGTGCGAGAAGTCATTTGTGGAGACTATTTGCCAAACTACCTCGGGTCGTTTCAGAGTGTCGCTGCCATTCAAATCAAGCCCACATTGTCTTGGTACGTCTTACGACACAGCCAAGCGACGATTTCTGGCCTTGGAAAGAAGAATGAGCAAGCAAGAAGACATTCGGCCAATGTATATTGACTTTATGAAAGAATACTTGGCCTTGGGTCACATGAGCCCAACTAACAATCAAATTCCGAGAGAGCCGCATTATTTCATCCCATATCAATGCGTGCTAAGACCGCACAGCGCATCCACTAAACTTCGAGTAGTGTTTGATGCCTCTAGCAAGTCCTCCTCTCAATTGTCGCTGAATGATCTACTCATGGTGGGTCCGACCATCCAGCCGCAGTTATGGGAGACTTTGCTAAGATTTCGACTTCGTCCTTGGGCTGCTACAGCAGACATCGCTAAAATGTACCGTCAAATTGAACTTGACGAGTCCCACCGCAACTTTCAACTTATTGTGTGGAGGGAAACGCCCACTGATCCGTTACAAATCTTTCGATTAAACACAGTAACGTACGGGACAGCGACTGCTCCATTCTTAGCAATTCGATGTTTAAAACATCTAAGCGACTTGCATGCTTCCACTCATCCAGCTGCTGCAAGATCGTTAGCCCGAGATTTCTATGTTGATGACCTGTTGACAGGAGCAGATAGCGTCGAAGAATTGTGCTTGTTGCATCGAGACTTGATCGCAATTCTTCAAAAGTTTGGATTTCCTCTCACAAAATGGTCGTCCAATTGTAAACAACTCGCAGCACAACCAGCTAGAAACGATATAGTTATTGGTCATCAAGAGGACACAAAAACATTGGGATTAATTTGGAATCCAATGAATGACAGCTTTAGATATTCCATGAACTGTCCAGTAGAAGTTCAACAGACCAAAAGATCCGTTTTGTCATTTGTAGCAAGGTTATACGACCCCTTAGGTTTGTTAAGTCCGATCGTAACTCGTGCGAAGGTCCTTTTACAGGAAATGTGGTTGCACAAACTTGGGTGGGATGACCAATTGCCTGTTCAAATGAGGCAAGAATTTGAGGCAGTAACTAGCTGTTTCTCAAATCTAAACTCGTTGCATATACCTCGTTACGTTGGCACACTTAAATCGAAAGGATGTCAAATCCATGGATTTGCTGATGCCTCAACGAGAGCTTACGGTTGTTGTTTATACGTAAGAATGCAAACAGATAAGGGTATCACTACCAGGCTGCTAGTCGCTAAATCTAAGGTAGCGCCCTTGAAAACAAAATCTGTTCCGCGGCTGGAGTTGTGTGCTGCAGAATTGTTAGCTACCTTATGGGATGCGGTAAGGAAAGTACTTGATTGTCCTATTAATCAAGTCACATTTTGGTCAGACTCTGAGGTGGTGCTTCATTGGCTGCGAATGCATTCATCTAGCTTGAACACATTCGTTGCTAATCGCGTTGCAACCATCCAAGAGTTGACAACTAATGTATCTTGGCGTCATGTACCAACGAAAGACAACCCAGCAGATATTGTATCTCGGGGATGTTCAGTTGAGGAGCTTAAAACATCATTGTGGTTTTGCGGACCAGGATTTTTAAAGCTCTCTGACACATTGTGGCCAGCCAACCCACAAATCACCCTATCAAAGGAGTTAGAGCTGCTAGAGAAGCGTAGAACTGCAATTACTATGATCGCGGTCGATGAGGTAGCAAATCCTATCGTACATCTTATTGAGTCAACGTCATCATTTTCTAAGCTAATCCGCATCGTTGCCTATATGTTCCGCTTTATCAATGGAAAACAAGAAAGTCATTCTTCACTTGTTCCTACAGCTTCTGATTTAAGCTTCGCATTCCTTGCAGTTATATCTGTAATTCAACACATTGAATTCAGCGAAGAAATAAAGAAAATAAAGAAGTCAGTCGTGTTGTAACCGTCATTGCAAAAACTGACACCGTTTTTGCACCCACATCAGCATGGCAGGCGTATGTTATGGTTGTCGTCGAGGTCGTTTATTGAAGGCACCATTAGCACATAATGCCAAATTCCCATTATTGCTTCCAAAAAAGTGTCGTTTCGTAACGCTTTATTTGGAGCATTTGCATCGCTCTCATTGCCACGCCAATCCCCTAGTACTAATGGGCCTGCTTCGTCAGCAGGTTTGGCTGGTCAATGCTCGACAGGCTTGCAGTGCAGTAGTCCGAAAATGTGTACATTGTTTTCGCTACAAGCCGAAACTCTTATCCCAAATAATGGGCAATCTTCCCGCTGATCGCTTACATGGAAATAGGCCATTTGAGATCAGTGGAGTGGACTTTTGCGGTCCAATACTAGTTTCGCTGGGAATTCGGGGCAAATCGCCAGTCAAAATGTATATTGCCATATTTGTTTGCTTTACTTCGAAGGCAGTGCATCTTGAATTAGTCACCGATTTAACCACAAATTCATTTCTAATGTGTTTATCCAGGTTCGTTGGTCGACGTGGGCTTGTCCGGAAGCTGTACTGCGACAATGCCACCAATTTCGTGGGTGCTGCACGCACGCTGGACCTCAAAGCTACGTTCCATGGCAACACAGCGGACATGGAAATGTTTGCTGCGGAGCGGGGCATGGAGTTTGTATTCATCCCTCCTCGAGCGCCGCATTTTGGCGGCCTTTGGGAAGCGGCGGTGAAATCCGCCAAAGGTTTGCTGCTGAAAGCGATGGGCAGCGCTCGATTACGGCAAGACGAGGTGGCCACCGTGCTGGTCGAGGTCGAGGCCGTGCTCAATTCGCGGCCAATGGTCGCTCCCAGCAGCAACCCCAACGACGGCGAAGTGCTCACGGCCTCGACCTCGACCAGCACGGTGGCCACCTCGTCTTGCCGTAATCGAGCGCTGCCCATCGCTTTCAGCAGCAAACCTTTGGCGGATTTCACCGCCGCTTCCCAAAGGCCGCCAAAATGCGGCGCTCGAGGAGGGATGAATACAAACTCCATGCCCCGCTCCGCAGCAAACATTTCCATGTCCGCTGTGTTGCCATGGAACGTAGCTTTGAGGTCCAGCGTGCGTGCAGCACCCACGAAATTGGTGGCATTGTCGCAGTACAGCTTCCGGACAAGCCCACGTCGACCAACGAACCTGGATAAACACATTAGAAATGAATTTGTGGTTAAATCGGTGACTAATTCAAGATGCACTGCCTTCGAAGTAAAGCAAACAAATATGGCAATATACATTTTGACTGGCGATTTGCCCCGAATTCCCAGCGAAACTAGTATTGGACCGCAAAAGTCCACTCCACTGATCTCAAATGGCCTATTTCCATGTAAGCGATCAGCGGGAAGATTGCCCATTATTTGGGATAAGAGTTTCGGCTTGTAGCGAAAACAATGTACACATTTTCGGACTACTGCACTGCAAGCCTGTCGAGCATTGACCAGCCAAACCTGCTGACGAAGCAGGCCCATTAGTACTAGGGGATTGGCGTGGCAATGAGAGCGATGCAAATGCTCCAAATAAAGCGTTACGAAACGACATTTTTTTGGAAGCAACAATGGGAATTTGGCATTATGTGCTAATGGTGCCTTCAATAAACGACCTCCTACTCGTAGCAACCATAACATACGCCTGCCATGCTGATGTGGGTGCAAAAATGGTGTCAGTTTTTGCAATGACGGTTGCAACACGACTGACTTCTTTATTTTCTTTATTTCTTCGCTGAATTCAATGTGTTGAATTACAGATATAACTGCAAGGAATGCGAAGCTTAACTCAGAAGCTGTAGGAACAAGTGAAGAATGACTTTCTTGTTTTCCATTGATAAAGCGGAACATATAGGCAACGATGCGGATTAGCTTAGAAAATGATGACGTTGACTCAATAAGATGTACGATAGGATTTGCTACCTCATCGACCGCGATCATAGTAATTGCAGTTCTACGCTTCTCTAGCAGCTCTAACTCCTTTGATAGGGTGATTTGTGGGTTGGCTGGCCACAATGTGTCAGAGAGCTTTAAAAATCCTGGTCCGCAAAACCACAATGATGTTTTAAGCTCCTCAACTGAACATCCCCGAGATACAATATCTGCTGGGTTGTCTTTCGTTGGTACATGACGCCAAGATACATTAGTTGTCAACTCTTGGATGGTTGCAACGCGATTAGCAACGAATGTGTTCAAGCTAGATGAATGCATTCGCAGCCAATGAAGCACCACCTCAGAGTCTGACCAAAATGTGACTTGATTAATAGGACAATCAAGTACTTTCCTTACCGCATCCCATAAGGTAGCTAACAATTCTGCAGCACACAACTCCAGCCGCGGAACAGATTTTGTTTTCAAGGGCGCTACCTTAGATTTAGCGACTAGCAGCCTGGTAGTGATACCCTTATCTGTTTGCATTCTTACGTATAAACAACAACCGTAAGCTCTCGTTGAGGCATCAGCAAATCCATGGATTTGACATCCTTTCGATTTAAGTGTGCCAACGTAACGAGGTATATGCAACGAGTTTAGATTTGGAGAAACAGCTAGTTACTGCCTCAAATTCTTGCCTCATTTGAACAGGCAATTGGTCATCCCACCCAAGTTTGTGCAACCACATTTCCTGTAAAAGGACCTTCGCACGAGTTACGATCGGACTTAACAAACCTAAGGGGTCGTATAACCTTGCTACAAATGACAAAACGGATCTTTTGGTCTGTTGAACTTCTACTGGACAGTTCATGGAATATCTAAAGCTGTCATTCATTGGATTCCAAATTAATCCCAATGTTTTTGTGTCCTCTTGATGACCAATAACTATATCGTTTCTAGCTGGTTGTGCTGCGAGTTGTTTACAATTGGACGACCATTTTGTGAGAGGAAATCCAAACTTTTGAAGAATTGCGATCAAGTCTCGATGCAACAAGCACAATTCTTCGACGCTATCTGCTCCTGTCAACAGGTCATCAACATAGAAATCTCGGGCTAACGATCTTGCAGCAGCTGGATGAGTGGAAGCATGCAAGTCGCTTAGATGTTTTAAACATCGAATTGCTAAGAATGGAGCAGTCGCTGTCCCGTACGTTACTGTGTTTAATCGAAAGATTTGTAACGGATCAGTGGGCGTTTCCCTCCACACAATAAGTTGAAAGTTGCGGTGGGACTCGTCAAGTTCAATTTGACGGTACATTTTAGCGATGTCTGCTGTAGCAGCCCAAGGACGAAGTCGAAATCTTAGCAAAGTCTCCCATAACTGCGGCTGGATGGTCGGACCCACCATGAGTAGATCATTCAGCGACAATTGAGAGGAGGACTTGCTAGAGGCATCAAACACTACTCGAAGTTTAGTGGATGCGCTGTGCGGTCTTAGCACGCATTGATATGGGATGAAATAATGCGGCTCTCTCGGAATTTGATTGTTAGTTGGGCTCATGTGACCCAAGGCCAAGTATTCTTTCATAAAGTCAATATACATTGGCCGAATGTCTTCTTGCTTGCTCATTCTTCTTTCCAAGGCCAGAAATCGTCGCTTGGCTGTGTCGTAAGACGTACCAAGACAATGTGGGCTTGATTTGAATGGCAGCGACACTCTGAAACGACCCGAGGTAGTTTGGCAAATAATCTCCACAAATGACTTCTCGCACAGTTGTTGCTCTGGGGTATACAAATTCGAATTAATTGTATTTGGCTTTTCTTCCAACTCCCAGAACTTGCGAACTATTGAATCTATAGCTATGTCGTCGTTTACGACGCTAATGAAAGTCGACGAACTAGTAGCTGCATTCAATGTTCGGCAGCGACCAGATACAATCCAACCAAAGGCAGTCAATTGCAATGTTGGGTTGTTATCGGATCCTTTTATTTTGCCTTCTCTTAATATATCAAAAAGATATCAGCACCGAGCAACAAATCAATACGTTGCGGCTTGTGGAATTGAGGATCAGCTAATTGTACATTATCAGGTACCTTGATCTCTTCAGTGTGCTTCTCTGGTTGATACGACGAAATGGAACGTAACACACCAAAGTCTGTTCGGATTTCTATGTCGTCCGTTCGGGACGCTATCGAAGTTTGAACGCTGTGCCGAACAGATGACTGACAATTAGCAATGCCCAACAATTGAATCCCAGATCTTTGCCGTTTTAATTTCAACTGTTTTGCCAGTTCTTCAGTTATGAAATTTACTTGCGAGCCGGAATCTAATAAAGCTCTAGCTAAGTGATAAGATCCAGATTGATCTTTTATCTTCACAACTGCAGTTGCCAAAAGAACTTGATCAGAGGCTATCCGTGCGTGATTTACAGATGAAATCTGTGACGAAGTGACACGAGGGACTGCTGATACAACTGCTGAGCTACTTTGAGCCGCTTCAGAGCTGTATCTATGCAGTATGGTATGGTGCGGCTTAGAGCACACACGACAGTGGGCTGATTTGCAAGCAGCCACTGAGTGTCCTGTTCGCAAACAATTTATACAGAGCGGATAGCTCTTTGCGAACGTAAAACGTTTCTGGCAAGGTATTGCTGCGAACGACGAGCACGAGTGAATGAAGTGATCGTTCTTTTTTAAAAAAACACGCATTTGGGACTCTGCGGCTCACTTGGCAGAGCGACAGCTAGAGAAGTTTTCCCAATTCTTTTCTTATTATCCTGAGCTACCTTACGACGTGGACCAGATGAGTCTTCAGCACTTAAATGCTGATACCGTCTGTTCAAGGCAGCTTCACAATCTTGCCACAATGGAAGCTTATTGTAGTCAAGATTCTCTTCCCACCTAGAGCGCGTGCCAGCGTCCACTTTCATCATTACCAAATGGATGAGCATGGCATTCGAAATCTGCTTATCAGATCCTAGCGATAAAAGAGATTCGTAAATGGCACGGACTGAGTCTATCAGCATGCGCAAAGATGATGCTGACGGTTCGGACATGTGTGGGAGATCAAATAGTTTTGAAATGCTGTTAAAAAATATGAGACACTGATTGTCGTACACATTTTTTAAAGCAGCTAACGCTTTTGGATAATTTGCATCTGTCACCTGATATGCCTTGACAGTGCCTAATGCTTCTTTGTCCAAGCATGACAACAAGTGGTTAAACTTTTCTATATTTGATAACCCTGGCTCGTTGTCGACTAAACTCTCAAAAAGTCCAATGAAATTCTTATATTCCGAATATTCTCCGCTAAACTTTGGCAGCTTTATATTCGGTAGATTCCTAGAATGTGACACTGAGCTAATCATTGTAGAGTTAGCGGGACTCTCACTTTTAGGTTGGCTATCACTACCTCGCTTCATAAGAAGTGCCTTTGTCGATACACACAAATCTTCTAACGTTGACCGAGGCACTAAATCTGCGTTAATGTCGTCCAACTCTTGTTGTGTCTTAAAGGCCTTTTCTATGTAGCGGTTCAATATCTCAAGTCGACATTCAATTTCAAATGGCTCTACTGGTTTAGTGTAATCTTTTAATGATTTATTAATGCGTGTTATGTCGTTTGTAACATTTTTGTAAACGGCCAACAGAGCTTCGACACGCTCTGATGATGACTCGTCCATAGACCTATTCTTTCCTCGCTTGTTAGTCATGATGCTATAAGTGATGCTCAGTTGAAACCAATTTCAATCGAAACAAATAAAAGTTCACTTAATGTATGACAACAAGCGAAGAGCAATTCAAGAATGTTAACAAATGCGCGCGATCGTAATAAATCTCAATATATTACGCTGGCAGTGTTAAACTATACTTGAGTGACTGTTACAGACAGTTGATACGATATAGCGAAGACAACAACCAAAATGTTGAGTGACTATTTGGGCAAGTGGTCTATTGAGTTATATTTGACTGTTGAGCGACTGAGTGCAATGCATTCACAAGCGAGAGCGCGCCGGTATGAATGCCAAAATATAAGTGCAGATCGAGCTCATACAATGAGCGCAAAGCGAGAGTGCAAGTTTTGAGCGAAAATATATCCAAGTGACGAGCGCACGTTTTGAGCGCAAAGCGAGAGCGCTGCTGCGTGTGCAAGCGTGGGTGCAAACGATATTGCAAGTGAGTATGCAATGAGCGCAAAGTGAGCGCGCACTAATATGTGCAAGCGAGACAGTAAAACGAGAGCGCAACTATAAGTGCAAGCGCGAGTGCAAACGATATTGCAAGCGCGCATGCAAATGATGAGCGTAAATTAAAGCGAAATTTGCTGTGTAAGCGCGAGTGCAAACGATATAGCAAGTGAGTATGCACTGAGCGCAAAGTGAGCGCGCACTAATATGTGCAAGCGAGACAGTAAAACGAGAGCGCAACTATAAGTGCAAGCGCGAGTGCAAACGATATTGCAAGCGCGCATGCAAATGAAGAGCGTAAATTAAGAGCGCAATTATCTGTGCAAGCGAGAACGAACTTTTATGTGCGAGCGAGAGCGAGCTGTGAGCGCAAGCGCAAAACGAAAGTGCGAGACGAAAATGAG